TTAAGCACACATCTTTGAAAACTTGGTCTTAAATACTTCACAAACCTAGGTATACTATTCTCTGCACACTCAAAAATAAAACACCTCCAAAAACCAAATGAACAAACAGGTCTTTACACAAATAACTTACACAGTGACCATTATGCAGCACTAAGGAAAAAATAATAAATCAATCAATGTTTGGCAAATTCTAGTTTTAGGTATGTATGATTTGAATCAACATTTATTAAATTTTTCCACTGGCTAATTTGAGACCAATTAATGTTTTTAAATTAGTGGTTAATAAGTAACTATTTGACTCCTGTAATTGTATTTAGCACAAAAAAAAAATCCTGTGCCTAATAATTTTATTTTTCTATAATAAGAATTTGAAGCTGTGACTTAACGTAATAACCCGGGATCAGGTTATTAGAGAGATTGTTTACATGGAAACCACTTTACAATTTCAAGAAATGTATGAGATTAAGGGAGGGTTTATAATATTGTCTTGTTGAGGTCAGGGAGTATAATCGGACTAAAGTAACCTATTCAGATAGATTTTAATGTCTGTCTTTCATATGGGCACTACTACATAATATACAGTAACTCTTCTCGTAAAGTTGTCTCATTGCTGATCTACTAGAGAACATGCTCATTTAAAGTTGCGCAATGCTCCCTAATGTCGTGTGGCAGCTGCCTGCTTTGTCCACTGCTTGCAGAAAGAGCAGCCCTTGGAGCTAGCTGATGGGGGCTTGGAACCAGGGTGGACCGGCAGCCCCCCCATCAGCTCCCCGCTCCCCTAAGTTCCCTGTGCAGCAGTCGCCCAACAGGCAATCAGCTGCTGGGCAATTCAGCTGTCCCTCCCCCCACTGCCATGTGCTGCTCCTGCCCTCTGCCTTGTAGCTGCTCCCGGGAGCCTACTGCTTGCTGTGCGGGGGAGAGAAGAGGGCTTTTAATGTCAGGGTGTCCTCCCACTCCTCCTTTACCCCATTTCCACAGGGGGGGGCGAAACGGATGATGGTTCAGCACAGGGAGCTTGCTGGTAGCAGCTGCTGTCTAAACTTGCTGATCTACTTAAAAAGGCAGTGTACTTAAAGGGGCAATGCGCGCGCACACACACACACTGTGTGTCTCTGCCTCTCTCTGCCGTGCTGCCTTGTAGAGTGTGAAGCTATATTAACAACAACGTGTTAACCCTTGAGGGCTCAGCTGAGTTCATTATTTAGCAGCAATGCATTCCCTGGGAAATAGCCCACCCTCTTCCACCCTCCAACTTCACCACCTCAACCAAGCTTCACAATTACAATTTAATACTGTACACAGCAATGACTTGTTTAAAACTTATACTGTGTATATGTGTGGATATATATATATAATATAGACTTTTGTCTGGCAAAAAAAAAAAAATTCCCTGGAACCTAACCCGCCCATTTACATTAATTCTTATGGGGAAACTGGATTCACTTAACATCGTTTTGCTTAAAGTAGCATTTTTCAGGAACATAACTACAACGTTAAGTGAGGAGTTACTGTATTAGCTTGGTGGAATTTTTTTTTATAATTTCAACAGGTAATATCGATATTCAATTTAAAGCATTTTTTCCCCATTTTTATTAATTTAAATTTTCATAGTGGGAAACAACACCTATTGTCATTAAAGTTACTATCAATAGAAATATTTTTTCATTGATGGGTGTGTACAGTAAAATCAACATTTATTGACATTTATGGATAAAAATCTACTCCTTCCAAGCCTAATAACATACCACACTGTTCATCAAATGTATACATTTTACATAATGCAATGTTTCTTTGTAACTTTTGTGCTGTGATCAGTGCTTTATTTAATATATCTTCCACGCTGTGGTAGTAGGCAAGAGAGGCATTTAAAGCTGGCAAGAATAACTTAACATTTCCCAGGATCTGTGGGTTTAAATTGAAAATTTGAGTATGTCCATCGTGGTTTTAATGTTTTCTAAGAGCAAGCTCAACAGAATAATGGGGCAAATGTGCCTTAATGGACATGTTAATCTTTGTAGTTAATGTTTTAAATATAGTGTATACTGTTCAAATTATAGTGACCTATTTGGTTTTCTTTGATAATAGATGGTAAAGATCAGGTCAAGTCTGTCAGTAAAAAAGGCAAGAGAAAAAAAGATACTGATTTTGCTGGATCATTTGAAGGTAAGAATATATTTGCATTTAAAGTTTGAGAAAGTTTAATACAAATGTACACTGTGGGAAGTATGTAGAATGGCAGAGGGCTTTGTGTTGTAGGGGGTTAGTGCACTAATTTTTTGCCTCTGGAAACATGAGTTCAAATTCCATTTTAGTGAAAATGAATTTCTCACCCCTGTACATACTGCAAATCCAGTCAGTCTCGTACAGTTGAGTATTAGTGACAGCTCTTAAGAGACTGTTAGGGTTGAGTTGAATTAGCAGATATATGTAGAGCAGACTGCATTGTACCTGGATACACTACATGCAGCACAAGTTTGTGCTACTGACCTCCCTATATTGTAGTCTAGATTTCTTTAAAAAGGGAAATCTCTGGCTTCCTCAGATTCTTCTAGAGCTGTGGCCTGCTGCTGGTAATGAAAACAAAACTAAATAAAATGCAAACTGTAATGCAAATTTGATATATATTCAGTTTTAGGCATGGAAAGTGAGTGAATGGATGAATTCAACAGGTGGGGTGTCTTTTCCACTCCCACTCAAAAATTTTTTTTTTTAAAATCCTACAGCATCAGACAGCTTTGCGCTGTTGCTTTACATCAGTGATATTCAGACTGAGGCTTGGGAGCTACAAGTGGCTCTTTAATGTGTCGCTTGTGGCTCTGTGCAGAACATGATATTAAAACACTGATTTATTATTAATCAGGATGCTTTTATTATGTTAACCCATTGTAGTTGATAAAATAATACTTGGCTAGTCATTTTGCTGTGAGAATATATAAAACTAAATATTTTGTCATACAGTTGAAATACGAATATTCAGTACTATTGTAACTGAAACAATGAATTCACACTACTGTGGCTCTTTTGGGTAGTGTTGATCACTAATTATGGTCTTGAAGCCTTGAAGTCTGAGTATCACTGCTTTAGGTCTTAAAACAACCTGCAAAAACGGTTGAACCCTTTTTTGCTACTTTGTTGACGTATAAAGTTTACCTAAAGTTGTTTTGTTTTTTTTAAATTTGCTTGTTGTGTACATTAGAAATTCAGGTTTTGATGACTGGAAAGCTGGAGAAATAAGGACATCACAAGAACTAAGTGAAAGTTGAGCATCTGAAGGAAGGGTGACTAATATTTTGGTTAAAGGATGTGTGTGTTAAAGAGTCAACGTATCCGACCCCCTTAAAGCTTGAGAGCTAAAAACATACAGTAGAAGCTCAGAATAATTGAACACCTCAGGAATGGAGGTTGTTCGTGACTCCCAACAAAACGGCTGGGCCCTCAGTCAGCAGCCGCCACTCTCCAGCTGCCCAGCTTTGATAGCAGCAGCACAGAAGTAAGAGTGGCATGGTATGGTATTGCCACCTTGACTGCTGCTTGCAGGGCACTGCCTTCAGATCTGGGCTCCTGGCCAGCAGTAGCCACTCGCCAGCTGTCCTGAAGTAAGGGTGGCAATACCACAACCCCCTAAAATAACCTTGTGACCTCCTGCAACTCCCTTTTGGGTCTGAACTCCCCATTTGAGAAACACTGGTTTATACAGATTTTACAGGGGAGTATAGGGTAAAAACACACAAAAGACCACATTTAACAATTCATGACATGTTTTTCATGGCTGTGAATTTGGTAGGGCCCTAGCCATTAGGCTTTGATTCTGTATGCTTTTACTAAGGCAATCCTTTTTGGGAGGAAAAAAATACTGGCACACAATCCCTAATCTTATCAGCCATCCCTTCTCTCAGAGAACTAATCTCCAATTTTTTTATACCAAACTATGTAGATTTTAAACTTTCTAGTGTATTTTTGTTACAAACACTAGCAGACCACTTTTGTGAGATCAGTTCCTTCTGTGTGCTAGTCAGTGCTATTGAAATCTTCTCCCTGAATGACTCCAGAAGAGTTATTACTCTCAAGACCCATTACTGCTGCAGCACTGATTAGAAGTGAGTCAATTTAATGACTGCTTGAGGGACAGATGGAGTTATCAGATAATTAACACTTTCATTTTATTATAAATGCTAACATGTATGTGAAAATTGTATATTTTGGATTGTAGCTCTCTCCTTTGACCCTTCATCTTTCACTTGTCTTCAACTGTAAGCACTAGGGGGCCTTGATCCTGATTGGGTCTTTAGATTGCTATTACAATATATGTATTACATTATTAAGCAAATCTGTTCACATATCTCTCTCTGCAATGAAATGATGGAGGATTTCTCTATCTTCTAGTTACATTCTAGCTACTTCGATGTATTAAATAGATGCTTTTCTAGGAGCTTTCTAATAGAAATCAGATACTTTGGACAACGTTATTAAAGGATGATTTTTTTTGTCTGGTGGTGGTGCCGCCTGGGAGAATGTAGAATTTTAGCTGTTGATTACAATTTAATAACTTTTTTCTATTTGAAGGATCAAAGCAGCAAAAGAAAAGAAAACTCAAAGACATCAGCATGCTTTCTGCTGCAGAAGAGGTAAGTCTGATTAGTATATATAATTAAGAAAAAATGTTTGATCTCACATTTTGCCTGGATATATCTTTCCATAAACAAAATACTGTTATTTCTTTCTTTAAAGTTTGGCACTCTTCTGGATGAAAATGTTAGGTCCAAGTTTGACAACATTGGTATGAATGCAATGGCTAACAAAGATAATGCAAGTAAGTGCAGTTACATCTTCTAAAACCAAACTATACCCTTACCCTATTTGAATAGGTATCTATGCATAATCGTTATGACGACAGTATTAAGAAAAAAATTTCATTGCTTAGTTGATATTTAAAAGTTTCCATTTTAAATGGAATACACAAAGTTTAACTTAATCCACAAAAAAGATAATTGAGCTGTTGCTCCAGTATAACCTTAATTTATTTTATGTAGGTACACGATGTATAATACAACAGTACTTGTTTTTAAGGACTCTCATCCTAGTCTACATTTAATTATATTCTTAGTCATAGTACTTGCAAGCATTTTGCAAAATAATGTGCAGCTTTTGACTTGCATCATTAAATACCTAATTCTAAATTACATAGCTTAACTGGTTTTAAACTTCTAGAAGCATTTAACTTTCTCCCCGGTATAAAAGCTGATGTAACCAAGCTTTAGCCAAACACACCACTCCCCAGCTTTGGTGTATATGGAGCAAAAACAGTTTTTCCCTACAAATCTAAATCTGTATAATCCCACTTTGAAAAGTAGATATCAAATAGATAAAACCTGTTGTGTTGAGTATAATTAAGGCTTTGTATTAATTCTTTACATCATTTCTCTAGCCTAAAAAAAATTTATCTCCTATCCTAGACACTGAGTATTTCTACTTAAACAATAGTGTTAATGCAAACTATAACACAGGATACATGAAAGCAATTCTAAAATTTGTGCCTTTGCAACAGGCCCAAAAGGTTCCAGGTAGAATAGTTTTTGCATAATGGAAAAATTTCTTTTGGGGTGAAAAATCCAATAATTCACACCTGATTGGTGTTTTATGAATTTATCATTTATTCAAATACCAAATTATGTTCAAAGGATACATGTTATCCCCTCCTCTTCCCTTGTAGGTGTCAAACAGCTCAAGTGGGAAGCAGAGCGTGACAACTGGCTTCACAACAGAGATGTGAAAAATATTATCAAGAAGAAAAAACAGTTCAAACACAAAGGCCTGAAAAATAAACACAAAGGCAAAAAGTCAAGAAAATGAATGAGACATATTTTGTTTTACACAAAGGCTTCTGTTTTTACTTACTTCTAATTTTTGCTGCTTAGCCATTTCAGTTGGTCCTCCTCCCTTTTTCCATAAACTCCAGCCCATTCATTGCTTTTGTAATAAACTGTGAAAATATATAAGAGAAGGCATCAGTGTCATCTATTCCTCTTACGTGCATCTGAATTTCTAGGTCTAATTTTATTGGATTTGTATTCATCTGATTGAGTAGAAAAAAAGATCACTAGAATTGTCTCTAGCGAAACGTACATTTTACAATCTCTGCACTTCTGAAAAAACATTTAGCAACAATGCAAAACTAATTCACCATCAAAAAGACATACGAGCTTTATCAAGTGTTTTCTTTTAGTTGGCAAGAAGTAACTTACCTTCCAGAATGGATGGAAATCTCCTGTTCATTGTATGCCTAAAATCTGATAAGGGAATAAGAAAAAATTACAACTATTCTCCAAAAATAAATGAACAATTGCACCAATGGAATGGATGTTTCTGTATTCAAAAGGCAGCTTTCTTAGTCTTTAGTTAGATACCATTAAATAGTGTGTAATTTAATTTCATTCAAGATTTTTCAGTGTTCAAACAACACATCTGAGCTACTTTTATTTACAAGTTAAGACACTTTGAGCCTATCCCCACTAGTGAAATGGGCAAGAAAAGCCTGATGGGTCCCTCTGAACATCTGGCTCTTAAGGTTTTACCAGTGAAAAGTCTTTCCTTTTGCAAAAGAGATACAAAAAATTCTCCCTCCTAAAACTCAAAAGGGTTGTGGAATCTAGAGTTTTTTAAAGGAAGGGTTGAGCCAAAGAGCTTGCCCCAAGTTTATTACAAGTTCAAGCATTGAGCATCCCTCTGAGCGGTGTTTCTCAACCTTTTTGATACTGGTTTGCTGCCTTCCTAAATCTTGGGGACTTGCACGAGCCCACAAACTGATTAAGAAACACTGCCTTAGAGGGGGGTGCGAGCAAGTTTCAGGGGGTCGGCCAAGCAGAGCCAGTGTTAGACTCGCTGGGGCCCAGGTTAGAAAGCCGAAGCCCCACCGCATGAGGCTGAACCCTAGGGCACTGAGCCCCATCACTTGGGGCTGAAGCGGAAGCCTGAACAACTTAGCTTCGTGGGAGCCCCTCTGGTAATATCAGCCCTGGCTTTTATATGTAGAAAACCAGTTATTGTGACACAGGTGGGCTGTGGAGTTTTTATAACATTTTGTGGGGGATGGGGGGGGGGGCTCAAATTAAAAGGTTGAGAACCCCTACCTTAGAGGATTCAGCTAGATCTTTCTCTCTTAATAACCAGGCTCCTCCAGACAACTTCCCTTATTTGGCTGCAGATTAACCTTATCAGTGCCATCCTGGAAGCTGAAAAGAGTATCTCCATCCTCTGTGCAAACCTAAATTTGAGTCTGTTATCCCTTAACACACCTAAAGCTTTGTACCTAATTGCTACTACATCAGCCACAGACTTCCCCCCCACCCTTTTTTTTTTTTTTTTTTAAAAAACACATACTAGGATAAGGTGCTTCTCTGGATAGTCCCTCCTTTTCAAAGCTCTTTAGTTCTACATAACTCCATTTCTGATCATCTGATCTAAATCTGACCTACAGTAGAACCGCCATTCAGATGGCAATAGATCCCTAACATTGTTTGAAGAGAACAAGTGTATCTTTGCAGTTTGACCTGCCCTGAAGCTGTGCCATAAGTCAAAATATCTCTAGATAGAATGAGAATTTTTCTGTTGATTTCTCGGCCGCCAGCCCCGCTGGCAGCGTGGATGGACAGAACCCCGGGCCGGCAGCGGGCTGAGCGGGGCCAGTAGTCGGGACCCCAGTTGGCAGGGGCTGGCGGCCAGAACCCCAGACCGTCAGTGGGCTGAGCGGCTCAGCCCGCTGCTGGTCTGGGGTTCTGTCTGCCACCCCCGCTGCCGGTTTGGGATTCTGTCTGCCAGCCCCTGTAAATGTAAAATGTATTACTGGCACGTGAAACCTTAAATTACAGTAAATAAATGAAGACTTGGCACACCACTTCTCAAAGGTTACCGACCCCTGTACTAGAGTAATGGGTGGCAGTATAAAACTCTCCTGGGAGAGCCTTAGCTGACAGTGAATCTGCTAAACTCTCTATGTCTGAGGGCTCATTTGATGTGAGCTAGGCTTTGTCCTGGGCAGAGTGAGGTTTCTCCAGGCCCTAATTTAGTCTCTCTTATATTTTACGTGCTATAGATTACTGCTGGGGGAATTCTGCACCACAGCATGCACCCAGAATTCATGTCCCCTGCAGAATTTTTTGCTTCCCTGCAGAAGTACAACTTTCTGCCAGGGAAGCTGCAAGAGTGGTTACATGCCCTTCTTCAGCAACGCAGGTGCATAGTTTCTGGTGCCCGGAGCTGCCAAGGGAGAGCTAAATCACCACAGGGGATGGAGATGGGGGCATCCTGGCCTGTGGCTCCTGGCCTGTGCTGGGAAGGCTGGAACTTCCTCTTCCCCTGCATGGAGTGGTCTGGGTTGGGTCAGACCCACTCCAGAAACCTCCCCTGGCTGTAGGAAGCTCCATACCCCCCTGCTTCCTGCCCTCATTGCTCCTCAACTGTGGGTGGAGCTGCCCCCACATCTAGCCAATCCCAGTGCATCTGGACCCCCCCCATAACCAAACCCCCCTGCTGAGCCTCACCCCTTGCAGCTAGAGGCCCCCCCCTGCACCCAGACCCTCCCACCGAGCCCTATCCCTGCATCCAGACCAGCACCACTAAGCCCCCTGCACTTGAACCCGTACCCCTGGACTCCAGACTTCCAATCCACCAAGCTTCACTCCCCCAGCACCCACCCACCCCCTGCTGAGCCCCAACCACTTTCACCTGTACCCCTCTGCCCAGTCCCCTTGCCCATGCACCCAGACCCCAATTGAGCTGCTCACACCAAACCCTCTCAATCCACACCTGGATCCCTCCACATTTGGATCCTGCTGGGCTGAGCCTGCCTGCCCACACCTGGTATGCTTGTCACAGAGGGGCAGGCCTGGCCTTGTGCTGTGTCAAGGTCCTCACCACCAAGTCTGTATCGGGCAGGGGGAGCATGCATTGCAGGGTGATCTCCCACCTCCATGCACCCAGTGGCCTGTATGCCCTATTGCCATGCTGGAGCCTCCCCATTTATTGACAAAATTTGCAGAACTTTAAAATATTGTGCACATAATTTTTATTCTTATGGCACAGAATTCCCTCAGGAGTAATCTAATAGATGAACAATTTCTTTTTCACCAATACAATCTTTCAGCAACAAATGCTTAGATGAGTTTTTTCCTATTTGAAACCTTGTCCCTGTCCTTAGGGTAAGGTGTTTTGGGGAGGTAATAATTCCACAACAGATTACTAATCAGATCTCATCTGTTACACAGTTAATATACAGACTGCTGAAACAGAAGTTATTTCATGATGGTTCTATTCCCCCCCTACATCTCACTATCTTAGTATACATATAACCTCCTAATAAGTCTCAGTCATTTACTATTAGGCTAAGTTCTTGGGACATAGCCCAGTAAATTATCTGTCCTCTTAAGTACAGTCTCCCCCACCCCAATATTACATGCACAGTTGGTTTCTTCACAACTACTCTGTTTACAGAAAACAGAGTAGAAAAACAGTATGGACTGGTGTGAAGAGAAGTTTCAACTTTTTAATTTGGGGAATCAACATTTTGCTACCTTATCCACTCTCTACTAATTTTTCACTTTTCTTATAAGAAATGTTGGTACCCACCATCAGGAGTAATTTCTAAAACCACTTTATTACCTTCATTTGTGTCCATTCTGTAAAATAGTGAATATGCTCCAGCAATCCCAGCCACTTCCAAAAGTAAAATTCCTTTGAAGATCTTTCTTGCAACAGGTTCCATGCCTAACTTTTAAAAATAGATTTGGATAAGCATTTTACTCTAGAGATGCTAACATTTTCATTCTTGAACTAAAACTAAAATAATAAAGATATCTTCAGAATTTCTGCTTATTCTTAAATTATATATGGAGATATACCTATCTCATAGAACTGGAAGGGACCCCAAAAGGTCATAGAGTACTAGCAGGACCAACTACTGATTTTGCCCCAGATCCCTAAGTGGCCCCCTCAAGGATTGAACTCCCAACCCTGGGTGTAGCAGGCCAATGCTCAAACCACTGAGCTATCATCAGGAGTCCATTAGAGTACTGCAAGTGTAGAATGCCTCAAATATACTGACTAGAGATGAATCTAATATCCACCAAGTATCAGGGGGTAGCCGTGTTAGTCTGTATCTACAAAAACAACAGGAGTCTGGTGGCACCTTAAAGACTAACATATTTATTTGGGCATAAGCTTTCATGGGTAAAAACCTCACTTCTTCAGATGCAACAAAGTCCATGGGAGTTCCTATTGACTTCAGTGGGTGCTGGATCAGTCCTGACAAGGAGCATTTAGCATGTTACCTAGAAACCGATAGGTTTTTATTTTTTTTCTAGGTCCCTTTTATACATTTAAAACATAATTTTACAAAAGTAATGCTCTAGATGGTTAAATATAAAGCTCAACGTTTATCCGAGCCATATTCCTAGGCAGGATTCCATGCAGGATGTGACACCAGTAGTTAGATGGGTGCTAGTCCTCACTGGTCCCAAAGGTTTGGCCCCAACCGGCACCCCCTTCAGCTTGACTACTGGGACCTCCAGCATATACTGCTGCAGTTGATGGCACCTGAAGCGGTGGCTTGCCAGTCACCTTTTAACATCTGGAATTTACAGCTCTGAAAATAACTTTTGCTTTAAGAGTTGGCTATTGCGTGGTGTCTTTTCCCCTCGGCCGGCGCCAGGCCCCCAACTAGCTCCCATTAAAATCAATGCAGCGGGCCCCACAGCAGGCCAGGGCAAGCCTTCAGCCAACACGCTGCACTACGGCCACGTCCGGCCGCGGGCTCAGGCCGGCCCAATGCCCAGCGCGCTGCAGGTACCGGGCGAGGCCCGGATTCATCTGCAACCAAAGGCGCTAAGGCTGGACACGGCGCGTACGAACAGCGACGGGCGGGCGCCCTGCGGGCCACACGCCGGCAGGAACCGCGCATGGGGCAGCCCAGCAGTTGAGCTGGGAAAAGGCCGGAAAAGCAGCTGGCGCGGGAGGGACGGGAAGAGGGAGGAAGGGGAATCAGGCGGGAAACGGCTCCGCGGAGAACAGGGCCGTTAGCGAGCAACTGGGAAAGCCAACGGGCACGAGCGCAGTTGGGAACGCGGGGCCGGGAACGCGCCCGCGGCAACTCGCCAGCGCCACGTGAGTGGCAGGCGCCACGTGTGAAACACGTGACCCTCCTCCCCACCACAGTCCGACGAGGGCACGTGACCGGCCTGTGCGCGCGACGGGGAAAAGCTAAGCGCGGGAGAGACCTGCAATGTTGAATCCCCGCCTCCGACGGTTTCCAGGCCTCGCCCCTTGTACTCGCGGCCCCGACTAGCTTGCTCGCTCCAACTGCAGCAGCAAGCAGAGCGACCCGGAAGCAGAAAACAGATTCTACTTCCGCATCATAACCTGAGGGCCCACTACGGCGGCTGGCGGGCATCGCCACTCACCTTACGTCCTTCAGAGGGGAGGGACTCGCTCCCCAGCGCAGGCGCAGTCTGGTTTTGCGCCCATCCACGTGCGTGCGGATACAGTAGCGCATAGGCACGGTTTGGAGGAGCTGTGCGTGAGCGCATACGTACAAGCGCCCTCCGCCAATGATCAGTCCCCACAGGGTGTGTGTGTGTGTGTGTGTGTGTGGGGGGGGGGTTATAAACAGCCTCCTCCCAGCACAGCGCTGTCTACTGCTGCCCAAACTTCAGGAGAGGCCGCGACGCGGCTCTAAGACCCCAACGCTCCCGGGACCCCACCCCAACCTGCATCACACATCCCGGGAGCCAGCCCCCAAACCCCGCCCTCCAACGCGCCCCCAAACCCGGCCCCGCCCCAGCCTCCTGTCCCGGGACCCCGCCCTTGCTCCAGGACGCCACCCCCACCAACCCGGCCCAACATGGACCAAACACCCTGCCCCTAAGCCAGTGCCTCTCAAGATTAGATCCACTGATTTTTTTAGAGCTTTTTTGTGTGTTTTCCAAGCAGTGAAGGGGTCTTTTCTTTTGGAGGTCGTTGTCCACGAACTGCACCTTCTCTTTTTTAAATATAGCAGGAAATGGGAACTGTGTTTGGGCATTCCCAACAAAGGAAGCACAGGACTGACAACCCACAGCTACTGCTGCTTTGACTTGCAGTTGCTTTTGCCCAAACTGGTGACTGATGCCTCAAGTAACCTGTAGAGGTCTATAGTTAGGTCTTGAAACTATAAGGGAGCGCAGGGAGCATTTGTGGGTTTGTCTGGGCCAGGAAGAGGCAAAGCTCATGCTCTGCCAGGCCTGGTGATGGCAGCTGTGAACTTCCTTTCTTACAGGCAGCTACTTCCATCAGTAGAATAACAGAAATGGTGGCCCAGAGGTTTGGAACCTACTGTACAGGTAGAGTGACCAGACAGCAAATGTGAAAAATCGGGACGGGGGTGGGGGGTAATAGGAGCCTATATAAGAAAAAGACCCAGAAATCGGGACTGTCCCTATAAAATCGGGACATCTGGTCACCCTATGTACAGGAGATCTTAATATTTCACAAATGATATGTCCAGCAGTAACACCCAAAGGAGTGCACTAGCTCATAATGCAGTCACAAAGATCACAGATACTCCCGTCTCAGTAAAATGTAGCTCAATAGCCTACAAACTTCTGCTTGAGTTCAACTTCCAACCCTGCCTCAACATAGCCTTCAATATTATGATAAGCTGCTGACCTGCTTGAAAACTTGAGCAGGAGTAGATGGAGTTGCTCTTGAGTAGCTCCATTCCTTTCTTTGTAAGAGGGCCCAGAGAGTAGCATTGGGGAATTGTTCATTGGCTCAGAGGGCTCTCTCTTAGGAGCCACCAGGAGAGTTTGTAATTAAGTATGGATTAGTGTCTTCCATATGCTAATATTACTCAGTGACTGTATATTTCAATCTTTTCAGACTTTGCTGATGTGATTGTAATAATGATCTGGGCATAGCTGAGGGCTCATAGACCAGACTAGTATCATACTTACAGGGCAAAGAAGCAACAAAAAGAAACTGTATTTTGTTTTAACATTTTTATAACATATAACAAGTGATTATTATTTCCCTCTTGCTCAATTATGTCTGTCATTCCCTGCTGCGTTCCTTCCACACCTACACATACTGTTAGACTCCCTTCATTGCTCCCAGTCTGCCAGCAGGGTACAAGGCGATAGCCATGGTCTCTTCTCCCATCAGAAGGGGAAGGAGAAAGTTACCATTGGGGGGTGTTCTCTGGTGGGCTTGGCTGCGTCTCTGCTGAGCCTGCCATTTGTGATACCCACCTGACCTTTCTTGCCTCTCATCTTTGAGTATAGAGCTCACAGGGCCCCTGTTTTCCACAAAATGTGTCAATAGCTCAGTCCAACTGTGATTGCAGCTCCGGGTGCTGAAGATAGACAATTACTATACAAATCACACACTGCTGCTAGAAACCTCATCCTTCAACAAGGTTCTCAAGCAAGTGCCTAACTTTAAGCATGTGAGTAGTTCTACTAGAGTGATTGAGGCATAAAATTAAGAATATGCTTATAATGCTTAGATACAGATCTCTACTGTTTGAACTAATGGAAAAGTCCCTTAGCTACTACTAGCAAGTCCCATATTCTCTGTCTGAGTCAACTGCTAAAGTGAAACTTGATTATATGCATAAATCCAGTACATTACAAAAGGATCTAAATCTTATTAGGGGCACATTGGGGGGGGAAAAGCCCTGCTAAATGTAAGCTTTCAGCATTTTATTGTCTCTTTAGCATAAAAGGGGGACATTAATATACAATACCTTCCAGTGTAGGCATTGGGATTTTAAGCTATGATGATATTTTAAACACTATTTTAAAGCTATGATGTTAGTATTGCTTTCCTGGAATTAATTTGATTGTTATTCTTTATGCCTTACGCTTTTTATTGTACTGTCTCCTATTACTTGTTACCCATAGACTTTACATCTGTTTCTTCTAAATCAGTGATACAGGACTGAAAAGCTTTCTTTAATTACAGAAATAACTTGCTGCCAAAAGAAAAACAACTTTATATTGGTGTGAGAGGCTTGCTTCCTGTTAATGTTATATAAGGTTAAATTTAATATTTTGCCTCTCATTCTTACTGATTTGTCTCCTATATCTGTTTGTCTCAGTGGGCCCAATCCTGTCACTCCAACTGGTCTTCAGTGGTACTACTTATAAGAGTAAGCCTTACTTTTAGGACTAAGTCTTGCTGAATTGGACCCTTTCTCCAGTACCAGGAGAATGGAAAAGGAGGAAATAAATATACCCAATTGGGTGGGGTTTGCATGTGGAGAACAACATGAGATATTTTGTTCTCAAGAAAAAAAAAAAGGGAGGAGTGCCAGGTTTTTTACTCCACCCTTCAGATCTGTCCATTTAAAGGCACTTGTTGTTCCAACACTGCAATTTCACTCAAAGGCAACAAACATGGCAAAACAACAGAACAAATTAGTTGATGAAATAGAGAAAGTGCTGGAGAAGTCTAAAGGGTTTTCCCTTAAGGATCTGCTGTTCTTCTATCAGGGAACCCCATACCCTGTCACTGTATGCAGTGCAGAGACATTCCAGGCCCTGGAAAACTTAGAAGCCAGAAGAGATGATATGGTGTTGGTGTCTTACCCCAAATGCGGTGAATACAGTCGATGTTATTACTTGCTACAATGTAAAATATAAAATGTCATAAATAACCACATGGTGTAATAAGAGGGAAAATAACATCTATTTTAGGTTTTAGTTCTGCATAAGTTTTGTAGGGATTTTAAATTGGACATTGCTGATACAAACAGACTATAATGTTTTATCCTGTGTCATTTTAATTGTGCATTGTATTGGATTGTTTCTTTTCAGTATAGTTTGCCTTTCTGCCAGGATATCTTTCTTTAATTATTCCATACTGCAGGTGGCTGCATACTAGAGAAGATGCTGTACATGAAAGCAAATTCTGTTCATTTGATACCCTTCATTTGAAAAGATGGGTGTAGCCTACTGTGCAATAAAGTTACATGTAACAAAAAAAGAATAATCGTTACTAATTATGATGGAAAAGTGACAGGACGTATTGGCTATTTTTGCAGAAGTTTAAGCTTTTCTTTAATATTTTTAAATTTCAAGTTGTTTTTGCCAGATCTGATATGATTTTCCTAGTGACTAGAAAACAGTCCAAACCAGAATATAGTACACCAATAGTCCATGTTCCTTTTTCTTGTGGACTCTGGAGAGAAACATTTTGAGACTGAAGCGATGGCGATTTATGGTTTTAGGAGATAATATGGATGTAAGAGAGGATCTCTACCTTACAAAGTGGTCTGCAGAGGAGAACCTGTGCAATTTTATTTAATCTTTTGTTGAGAAACCTGTTACAATAGAATGAATAAATGATGTAATCCAGTTGGGGCCCAATCATAAAGACCTTATTGCGGGCCTAATTGTGAGATATGCTGATCACCCATGGGAGTTTTGCCTTAGTAAGGACTTAAGAAATCGGCTTGCAGTGGTTAAGGTAAATATCTCAACCATGGAGAGACAGGAAGCCAAAGCAGTGGAAATGGGACAAATACAAAATAAGAGATGAGCTGAAAATGTGGATCTGATTTTGAATATCCCATAATTTAGGGATTTGGGGGATCGTAGGTTTTTTGTCTGGCCCAATATGAGGATAAGGGCTATTTACATAATTTGGTTTGGTTTAGATTTCAAACACCACTATAGTTTGGAGATATTCAGAAATTCAGTTAGTTTAATTAGTCACACCTGGCTCTATACCTTTGTCCGCGCTGGGGGGATTTTTTATAAAATTCCCCACTATTGCTAATACTAATGCATCTTGTGATAAATCAATGATGGGAAATTTTAACAAGGGACAAGACATTGCTAATAAGTTCAGAGGAATGAATCTGCAGTTCCCTCTAACAGAGTGGGGCAGCTGGAGAATTTTGAAACCCTGCAATAGGCTTACATCAATGAAAAAGGCATTTGTTAAGGGTTACACTGAACACAGGAGAAGGGAACAGAAAATATTACATATGTCTCATGTGGTGGAGTAACCCATTGCCAGCAAAACCTTAT